CGTGGCAAGTCCTCCATCACGTTAACAAGCCACGCACGCCACACTGACTACTTCATCGCTCGATCGACAAATCAAAACCCCTTAAAAAATCTCAACTTGCGCAGCCCCCTCTAAAATAATCTTCTTTTTTTATGATATGCCATCTTTTCCGTAAGAAGGGGATGTGATTTGTGGATGGAGTGATAAGCAAAGACAATATAATGTGTGGACCCAGCAACGTTCAACCCCGTATGTTTTTTTTTCTTTAGACTTTTCAACAGGACAGGTCACAGGTTTCAAAATCCGTGAAAGCATTTTTCTCATTTAACCATGTACATAATTAGCTTGACAATAATGCTAAACTCCACGATTACTCCACGCATCTCCCTCTATTTAAGCAAACCCTCATCTCAACTCCCCATTCATCATCACAAACAGACGACACCAACATGAAGGAGTTCTTGATCATAACCCTCTTCCTCACCATATCCTCCTCCATCCTCTCCTCCTCCGCCCCCGCCGCAGCAATTGCGGCAGCCAAGCGCGAGGGGCCGTGTGCCCCAACGGCCTCTGTTGCAGCAAGTTTGGCTACTGCGGCACAACCTCAGCGTACTGCTGTGAGCGGTTGCAAAGCCAATGCAACTGCGGCGGTGGCGGAGGGACTCGCACGCCTACCCCACCTAGCGGCGCGGGGGTGGATCGATATCGTCCATTATAAGCTCGAGCTTATTCAATCAGATGCTGCTACATCGGGACGATGCGGCTTGTCCTGCTCATGGTTCTATACGATGCCTTCATTACCGCTGCTAACGCTTTCCCTGGGTTTGGTACCACCGGAGATGATGATACTAGGAAGAGAGAGATAGCTGCTTTTCTGGCTCAGACCTCTCATGAGACCACTGGTATAGATATATATATATATATATTACTGGACTTAGAGTCTAACGAATACTCCAAAATTGAAAATCTAATCTACTACATACGAACTATCCAAATTCGAAACAAAAATTCGAAAGAATTTAGCGTCATTAACCGATGAACGTGTTTGTGTGTTTGATCAGGTGGGTGGGCGACTGCACCAGATGGCCCGAACGCGTGGGGATACTGTTTCAAAGAAGAGCAAGGCAATCCCGGGAGCTACTGCGTACAGAGCACCCAATGGCCCTGCGCGCCGAACCAGAAGTACTTCGGCCGAGGGCCTATCCAAATTTCATAGTAAGTCCACTCTTAACAATCTAATCTAATCTATAATCTAATTAGTTTGAACCACAAACTAGCTGAAGCTGCATTTAGAAAGACAATTAAATCATCGCAGACACAACCCTTTTACTTACAGTGGTGTAACCATTTACGATCCTCTCCTCCGAAACTTTTTTTTTATGAACAGTTAACGGTTAGACGCTGGGCCCTAGATGCCTGGTGTGGCTTTCTTGGCCTCGTCAATTTGTTTATAAGACAATTTTACCAACTTTTTTTTTATCCTTCACAATTATCCACCGGATGCAGCAACATCAACTACGGTCCAGCTGGACAAGCAATCGGGTCGGACCTCCTCCAAAACCCGGGCCTAGTAGCAACCGACCCGGTAATCTCTTTCAAGACCGCATTCTGGTTCTGGATGACCCCTCAGCCCCCCAAGCCCTCCGCCCACGACGTCATCACCGGCCGGGCTTCGGCGTCATCACCAACATCATCAACGGAGGAGTCGAGTGCGGGCACGGGCAGGATAGTAGGGTTGCGGACCGGATCGGGTTCTATAACAGGTACTGTAGCATGTTGGGTGTGAGCCCCGGAGGGAACTTGGACTGCTACAATCAGAGGCCTTTTGGGAGCTAATTTGAAATATAAATATGTTGTGCGGTGCTGAATAATAAGAAGTGCTGGTGAAGGTTGTAGTATGGAATAGATTAATAACGTGGACGTGACAAGGACTTGAATAAAGCACTTGTTAAGTTGAAGCATTCTACGGATGATTTTTTTTTTCCAGTTGGTCTGAAGAACATACCTACATAATCCTCATCAAAAAGGGTAAATTTCACGTAACGCCCCCTGAACATTGTGGAGTTCCAACGAAAACCTACGAACAATATTTCCTGCCTGGAAATGGCAAACCGATTCAAACCCATTATAGAAAAAATAAAATAAAATAAAACTAATAGCCATCTAATCTATAACAGAATGTATATCTACAAGCAAGGAACTCAAACCTATGGCAATTACACAGAGAAAGCAGCCAGTACTACTTTATCATCTTAATAGAGAAACTATCCATTGAAAGGAGAGGAAAAAGTCATGAAACCTAATAACAAGGCAAAAGGGGAAAATAGAAGCAAAAGGTGAGTAAGAGTTCGGAGCAAGTTGGCTTGCATCACAGCAGCCAAGCCGTAAATAACATTATATTTCTGAACTATAATTTATACAGAATCAAAGTCTATTGATCGTTAACTGCATATCTTATCCGCTATATATAATCATCGAGAATGCTACCAGCTAAGTGAATTCTTTGACTGCTGTAGCTTAGCACTGTAAGAGCTTTCCAACTCATCCTGCAATAATAATATCAACACCAGAACTTTAGTCAACTCAAATTAATCAGAAATTAATAAACAATATAAACAGGTGCTATCACGTTTGTCAAAGCTACTGTTCTTGACCTTGTGTTCGTTGCATGTAATTAAGATTTACCCACTTGAAAAGGTAATTTGATATCCAACAAATAACAACCAGAGGTAATTAGTTGTAAAATACCACTGCAAAATTAAAAACAGGGGGGCAAAACTAACAGATGTTTGGTAACAATTCGATGTTTGCAATGTGTTCATCTATACTTGAGTCAAGTAGCGGAGAGGCAAATGAACATTTGAAACAACAAATACATGTAAATAAGCACATTTGTAGCTTACAACCATAAAATTTAAAAACTTTTGAATGATTTTAATGGAATAAATTACAATTTGGATGCACTTCAGTTCACAACAAAGTTGGGGTAACATAACAGTCTAATATGTGAAGCATTAATTTATAACAGAGACAGCATCTAATTCTGAAGTTCTCATGCATGACATATCATTAGATTCATAACAGAGACATCTAATTATATCATGCATAAGAGATCATTTACTAAGGAGCATGACAAGTTGCTGAAGCCTCGTACAATGTTAATGGAGTGGGTTTGGGAATTGGAAAGTTCATGGTTGAAGCCCTGGAGATATATGTATGTATGTATATATACATACATACATATACATATATATGTATGTATATACGTATGTATGTAAGTATACGTACATACATGTACATATACATGTATAGTATGTATGTATATATATGTATGTATATATACATGTACAAGTATATCTATATATATACATACATATATTTACATATACATATACATATACATTTGTATGTATGCATGTATGTATGTATGTGTGTGTGTGTATACACACACACACGCAGAGTAAAGCTCCTATAAACTTAAGTGGATAGACATACTTCTCCACCAACTTTTTTATCTATTAGATTTGCTTTGAGATTTGTGCAAAACATGAAGGATATCTTTGGGATATGTGCATTGATTTGCATCACATGCTAGCACAAATCTCAAAGCAAATATGATGGATAAAAAAATTGGTGGACAAGTGCTTCTATCCACTTCAATTTATAGGAGCTTTACTCTCTCTCTATATGTGTGTGTGTGAACGTACGTACGTACATACCTACATGCATGCATGCATGCATGCATACATACATACATACATTACATACATTACATACATAAATAACATACATTACATTACATACATACATATATACATACATACATACATACATTACATACATTACATATATTACATACATACATTACATACATTACATTACATTACATACATACATACATACATTACATTACATTACATACATACATACATACATACATACATTACATTACATTACATACATACATACATACATTACATACATTACATACATTACATACATACATACATACATACATACATACATACATGTAGATGTATATATACATACATACATGTGTGTGTGTGTGTCGATATATGTATATAGACACACACACACAGAGATAACACACACGTGCATATACATATATGTAATATATACACGTATGTGTGTGTGTATATATATAATTTGGAACCTGAGAAAACATGAAGGTGTGCAAAATGGGAAACATACCTTGCAAGATTTCAGTAGTGGCTCCAAGAAGGATGACCTGAAAAACTTAATGGATTCTCCGAGTGAAGTTCTTTCCCAGTCTGAAATAAAATTATAAAACATCAGACTATTACCATATTAACCATCAACTGTCATAAGGTAAATTTTTTTAAACTTCCAACGGATAGTGATAGTGAGATGCACAAAGATGAAAGCATATCAAGCAATTTTTGAAAATTTATGACTTTTAAATTGATATTTAGCAGGTATTGAAGCTTAACCATCTCCTTCAAACACATCTGGGAAGTAAAGAAAAAGTTCTCCTGGTTACATACCGTTCTCAGAACCTGCTCTCATACCACCCACGTTCAGCTCGTCTATAAGCTGCAGGAGTATGGTAATGTCAGATAATAATTAGCAGGCAAGTTCTATTCAGAAAGCTTAATGAAATATAGATAAATTTCTTTTTGTAATGTCTGGTTAGATAATTTTGAGGTCAATGTTACTGGAAAATTGATGATTTGAGATGATTGTGAATTTTCTGTAAGACTTATATAAATACTGAGAAAGCTAGAAGTTATAAACATTGGGTCATTGATCTCGAAACTTATCCATGCCTTTCTCAAAATTTATGAAACTATATAGCTCAACTATTCTACTCTAAATGCATGCAAATTCATGTTTCAGGACACAGTTCTGATGTATTGTAAAAGATCATGCTTCTCAATGTTCGCTCTGTTAATATATAATTCCATTTATTAATACTGCCACATGGACTATGAATTTATAGGAAGGTTACAATTTCATTTGTTATACAAAATACTGGAATTTAGTTTACCACAGATCAAACGAAATTACCTGTGAAATTGTGGGTACAGTTCTAGGGTCAAAATCATCACAATTATTAGGATCAATAGGAACACAGATGCGACCTGGATCAGGATAATTATGTAACATCAGAAAATAAGAATATCTTCAGGTAAGAGTAACTCTATTGATGTCTGAAGGAAATGTTCAAAATTTATAATATCAGAAAGATAGATGCTTACCTGTTTTAGGGTGTATGCAGAATGGTGCCTTCAGTAGATGATTCATATGCTTTGAAACCTTTTCGATAAGAAACAAAAGGTAAGAAGAAATGATACATGGATCAGTCTCACGAGTCAAATTACATAGAGAATGTTCCTAAACCTCCACATCAAGTCTTGGATAGGTATAAGAGAAGACAATCTCCTCTACACATCTGCGGAGTGCCTGAACCTGAAGAGTGAAAATAAGAATGCACAGAAATGAGTCCCGACACATGTTCAAAAACAGTACAGCACAATTAATTTATTTTAGAAAACAGAGGTGAGTGTAAAGTTCTCCCATAAAAGACTAAAGCAGGACATTCAAAAATAAGTTTCAACACATAACCATAGAAAACTAGATTTACAGTGATGAGTTGGAAATCACTTTATGAGTATGCAACTTCAAACATTTGTTTGAAAACAACGGAAAGTCTCTGAAATTTGACTTTTTACAAAACATTGTTCCTGACAATTCTATACACAAATGCTTCCTCATAAATCAATTTACAGTTACTTACATAATTTAGCTTACGTTTGAGTTCACAAACAAATTAAGATGTTTTCACAAGATTTACCGGAATAAGAGATCCATCTAACATTTCTGGGATCCTCATCTCAAAGTGAGTTTTTCTCCATTACATAGTTTTCAAATACTAAAATAACAACTGAATCCTCCACTTACAACACCTTTGTTAGCTCTATATTCGGACAGATAACTAAAAAAACAAAACAAAATTAGGAACCCATGACTGGAATAATGGATGTTGACAGATTCACACCTTTTGTTTTCCTGATTGCAACATTTGTTTTAACTGATCCCATCGAACAATGTCAATATCTTGTTTAGACTTAGACCTTTGATTTCTCTGCCATTTATCACGAAGCTCTCCAGCAACAGCTGAAATTTTTGCATACCAATTTACATGAATTGATCTTCAAGGCAAGAGCACGATAAATCAAGGGAGGAAATCTAATCATCACAAAATCAGCATACTCACAGTCATCCGGAATAACCTCAAGTATCCTCTGACATCTCTCATCAGACGAAAGCAACTTCTGGTTAAGAAGTAATTTCTCTTCAAAAATGACCTTCAAAACTTCTGTATATGATCTACTGCAGGAAAAAGGTGTTCTTGTCAGAGAATAAATCAAAACCTTGCACATAAAAGACTTAACATTTCTTATAATCTGAAGTGGGACTTACACAAGAAAAGGATGAAGAACAGGTCCTGTTAAAGATACTTTCCTCAAACTATTTTCACCTCCCTGAACCCAAAGACCAATAAATTTCCATTGCATAGAGCATACGCAAATGTTTGATACATCTCTCATGGAAAACAGAACAAAAAGAATCACCTTGTATACACGGAAATAGTCGACAATAGATGCTCTCTGCGCATTTCCTAGCCTGAATGGATTAAAAAAATTACTGAATGTCATCTTATTACGATAAAAAAGCATTACCAGAATATAATTCCCAATAATCTTAGAGTTACCTTCTTGCTTTGCTATCGCATACCCAACAGTGGACACCACGACGGCCACTATACACCCATAAAATGTGATTAAAGCCAAAATCATCTAGAATACAAGAATGGTTTGCTCAGTATATTAAATTAAAGAGGGTCAAATGGAATTTATAAATGTCAAATAATCGTAAGTATACAGTCCAAAACAACCTGACATGATGTCATGAACATATATGTTTAAATACCATGAAACAGATGTATGAACATTTACAAACCTCTAAGAGCAACATCTATGACTTTAATAGCAGCTGTCATTAAAGGCCAGCAATTTAAACAGACATCGCCACCAGCACAGCAGTATCGAACATCATCATAGTCTGATATATCCTGTTTAGCACGAAGTGAAAATAAATAACATTCCACACTTCCATGATACATTAAAAAGGAACCTACAATTACAGTTAACATATACCGAATGTTAAATGAGCTTACAATATCAAAAATGAGCTCCCTTTCTACGGGGCCTGTTTTTGAATATGCAGTCCTTTTTGCAAGCTGGAAAACACAACTTGTTATCAGAAAACAACACATAGGATCTGATTATACAGAACAAGAAACAAAATCATTTTTCAAAAAAAAAATAATTCCACGAAAATGACAAGTTTCTGTATTATACATCGACATTATATACAGGTCCAATATCTATTTTAACTGGGCACTTCTCCTTTATGGAGTTCTCCATTTCAGTTGCATTATTAAAACTCTGATATCGAATATATATGTCGTTCTCCAGGGTGAAAGAGAATTCTCTGCGGTTAATATAAGAATTGTCACATGCTGGATGCTTCCCATCTGCAAAGATTTGCCAGTCACAACAAATCAACTGAAGGAATAGGGGGGAAAAGGTTTCAACTGAAACATATAAAAACATTGTTGTCCCTACTTACCATTTCCATAAGATAGCCATCTGAACATATCAGCATATGGAAAGAGTTTTCCTGCATGTGAGCAACTTTGGATAATTAGCATGCAAATAAAGTAGGCATTGGAAATAATATAGTGATTTAAGTAAATAAGGTTAATGACATTAGCTGTATTGGTGAAAGCTTAAGTGTAATTATTATTAGAATAAGAATTTGATTTTATTTTATGAAAGCGAATTAAACAAAAAACAACAATTGGAGCAGACAGACTTGATGGAATATTTGATGTATGGACTCACTATTCTCCATAATCGACAGAAAAACCAATAGGTCTGTGGCTCCAAATATTGAGCAAATTATGAGTGGTTGCTGTGTCTACATGCCAATTTTAAGTCGTGCCAGTTTATCATTTGAGAAAATTTTCCACAGGAAAGAGCCTTATAGGTTCTAGAATGGGAGTTAGTTCGAAGCATCAATAATCCTATATCGCATACAATGCAGCATAAACAGTTCTGGAACATAGGTTCACCATAGCGCCTCTAGTAGAACTGAACATACTCTTCCTTTTTGTTACATTTCTCAATTAATAATTACCAGATGCTTCACAGTGTTCGCACTTTAAGCCAAAAAAATTAAGGAGAATCGACATCCCCGATGGCTGTGAAAAAGCCCAGATAAAGGGAGAAAACCTATGCTTTGATGCATGGAATTCTCTCTATGGTTAACAAATTAGTAACTGCTCATCATAAATAGTTAAAATATACCTTTATTCAGATCAGCATCTAGTTTTATTTATATCAGACCCCAAAATCTTCTTTTGCATTTTGTATTATTCCCCGAATCTTTCACATTTTGAAATTATTCCCCCAAATCCTTTGAAGTGTTTTGAAATTAGTCCCTCTAGTTTACACCAGGTTGAAAGATTTGGCACTAATTTCAAAATACTTAAAGGATCGGGGGACTAATTCTAAAGTATGAAGATTCGGGGGGCCACTTTCAAAACACTCGAAGATTCAGGAGACTAATTTCAATAGATGAAGATTTGAGGGTAATATCAAAATATGAAAGATTTGAGGGACAGATATCCAAAAAAACCTAAGAC